TACCTCTTCTTGGTCTTAGACCCTGAGAATATACATGAAGCATGAGAGATGACATAAAGGCAAAAAGGATTATTGCTGTATTGATGAAATAATCATTTTGTTAAGGAATTATGGAATACCTGCAGATGAGGCATTTGTCACCATATTTGCAACTTCAAGAAAATCTAGGTGCTTGTAACTCAGATTTTAGGAAAAAAAACAAATGTTGCTTTATAGTGTATCTGTTTAGTTGCCTTCAAATTCCTCGGGAACCATGACAATGTTCATTTTACATATTGTCCTTGGTCTGCTCAGCAGAATGGCTGAAGGACTGGATACCAGGCCTGGCTCACGGGTTCTTCCTCAGCCCCCAGAGCCAAGAGAAAATCTCAACATTTCCCTCTGTGGCTTCTTCAGGAAAGAAGGTCATGGTTTGGTAGAAAGAGCAGTTTGGCAACCACAACAGGTTGTAAGAACTATTTGTGTTTTAAAAGTGATCATAAATATTGGATAAGATGTAATTTATTTTTTTAGAACTACAAAGCGTTATTGAAAACTTAGGTTTGGACAAGTCGTTACAGTTATGTTTTGAATTTGCCAGACCCTGTGTTCTGTTACTAGGGCAGGATTTTTGAAACTTCTTTTTAGTTGGAAACTCTGATGAATTGGCAGTCACTTCTCAGGGTCTGAGTAATAACAGGTTATGTTCTCCAACACGTTTTTCTTAAAAGATCTCATTATCCATCTTTACGTTCATGACTTTTAAGACCTAGATAAAATTTATAATTGTCTAATTTGAAAATGTTATTTATTGACTATTGGAAGGATGAATAAAATTGTGACTTTAATTTTTATCCATTCTGGAAAACCTCCCCCTGTAAAAAATTATGCCTTACAGTCATGGAAGGCCATGAATAAGCCTTTGAAAATTTAACTGTATCTTAGTTAAAACTCCTTCGATTACAAGTATTGGAGAACAACCAAAGCTAGCTTAAGAATAAAAATAATTCATTTAAAAATATTCAAAGATGTCTCCTGCCCAAGAAGCCAGGCCTTGGGAACATGCTGGAACCAAGACCTAGAGTTGCACCAGGAATCTAGTCATGTGTCTATCTCTCTCTCTCTTTCTCTCTCTCTCAACTGCTCTATTTCTCTGCCCCTCAGAACTCTTCAGAAAGAAATATATCCAGGCTACAACTCCAGATTTACACATTCAAATTCCAGACACAAGCACACCTGAATCCTAATTCCAGAATATCAAGAGAGACTGGACCAGCTTGGGATTTCTGTCAGGGTTTAGCATAGGAAACAGACCCCTTGTAGGTACTTTAAACAGGAATTGATTAATCCAGGGGACTAGGCACTTTCAAAAGCTCTGGATGGACTAAAGAAGCAGGTTCTAAACTGAGGCTCTAACCTCTGGGTAGCTTATGGGCAGAGCTTCTACCTTTGAGATTCCTCTGAAGAGCAGCTCCATGGAGAAGCCTTTGCAGATGCCTGTCTACATCTGGGCAGCTGGATACAGACTTAGCCGCAAAAAAAGCCAGAAAGGGAAGGGATGCTGGCTTTTTTGCCCATCTGCAAATGGGCTCTGATAAACTTCTGCTTCCAAGTTACAAGGGAATCTAAACAGTGGAGCCTAATTCACAAAGAGAACCTGGCTGCAGGAGGAGTCTGGGAAGTGTAGGGTTTTTATTTACTTTCCCACCTCTCCGATTAGAACAAAGGTGGACTGAAGATTGAGGGAGCCAGTCTGTAGTATCTACTGCAGATTATGTATCTGCCCGAGGCTGACGCAGCTGTGGCCCAGGAGGGAGGGCCACCGTGTACACATGGGTGCCTGGGGCTCACCCTGTGGGTGGAAGGGATGGCTTATGAGCTGGGCAGATAATGCAAATGGAATTCACCACCCACGTGAGATCCTTTCACAAATATTTATGGAGGCCCTACCGTGTGTGCTCTGTTCAGCAACTTGTGATTCCAACTTTGAGTTGAGTTCAGGAGCTAGAGGGGAGGGATGGTGAGCAAGAGCTTTTGTATTTATTGTTCCATGAATGTCTGCCTTTGTTTTCTGTTTTGCTTTTTATCATCTGATGTTTTGCCTTAAAATCAGCTTGTGATCCACAGTGTGTATATGCTTTCTCTGTCCCACAGCTGCCCACATTGGCGTTGGGATCAGTGGACAGGAAGGAATGCAAGCCGTCATGTCGAGCGACTATTCCTTTGCTCAGTTCCGCTACCTGCAGAGGCTGCTGCTGGTGCATGGTCGGTGGTCTTACATAAGAATGTGCAAGTTCCTACGATACTTCTTTTACAAAAACTTTGCGTTTACTTTGGTTCATTTCTGGTACTCCTTCTTCAATGGCTACTCTGCACAGGTAATATAACATTATTCACTTATTTTTTTATTGGGTATAGAGCTTTTCTCTTAGATGAATAAAACTCTAGTTCTGAAAAGATAATTTGTTTCTTCTATATTTGTAGTTCTGGTCCTGTAGTTCCTTAAAGTCGGGGCATAGTTAAATAAGACCATGACTTTTATAAACTGTTTCTGGTGCTTTCAAAACATTTTATTTTGCCTTAGGAAGGGGGGTATTTGCTTCTGTTTATATCTTCATCTTAGGCTATTTTTTCATATTACCTTGCCATTAAGAATAGCATTAACAAACTGTGAAAGTGTAAAATTATATTGTGACCAAAGCTAAAGAGATTATATAAATTGTGGATGTTATAGTTCTATTATCATGTCTCTATTTGTTATTTTGGTTTTTTGTTTTTGCTGAAACGAGAGCAAGGGACATATCTAATATGCTAAAATGGTGATGCAGAAGAAAATTATCATAAATACAATTTGGACCTAAGTCAGTGCCTGTGTTGTCGAACCTTCTTTGATGCAATGCCAGAGACAAATGGCGTCTCCGGAATGAGGGCCAGGAGAGATTTCAAGCAGGGTCCCAGCCATCGTCCTGTTTCTGGGCAGGGCCATGTGTAACTCTTGTTCCTGAGTAAGCCCATTTCCTTTATCCCACCCTAAGAAATGATGCATGCACAGTGGTGTTTCTTTTCTTCAGAAGCATATTTTTTATATTCGCTCAAATTCCGTTTTACAAAGTATTTTCATGGAAATGTTGGCCTTGCAAAATAAAAGTTAAAAGAATTTTAATGGTACTTATGTGCTTTTGAAACAATTTTGTTTTATGTATTCTAAACTATGAATAAAGGGGTATAAAAACGATGAGCACTGACTTGTTTTCCAGCATTATTCACGTAGAATAGACTCTCTTACCACAGACTTTTTGGAGTATATCCCCCCCCCAGATTTATTCTGGGTCAGGGCTCGGGATTGGTTTCTGCAAAAAGGTCCGTGACTCTGCCCATTCCATAGACACAAACTCATGTTTTCTAGAAGTGTAGATGAAGGGTGTTTACTCAGGCAGGAGAAGCCCTCACTCAGCTGGGGATGTCCCTGCTTTGTGAAGTAGGTGAATGTGTGTCAACCAGGCTGGCAAACGTCTTTATCGGTAACACGGAGCCTCTGTCACCTCCTCACAGACCGCGTACGAGGACTGGTTCATCACCCTCTACAACGTGCTGTACTCCAGCCTGCCCGTGCTACTCATGGGGTTGCTCGACCAGGTAGGCGCCTCGCTGAGAGGGAAGCTTCTGGACAGATGAGCACCTGTTAGAGAAGTTACAACCAAGCGTTCCAGTGCATTCTTCTGGGATTTGCTTCTTTCTGAGTAAACCTTGTCATAATTCTGTTGTCAGGCAACAAGGGTAACTTCTGTGCTTCTTGTTTTACAATAAGAAAAGGGGATTTCCCTGTAGCCCCAGCTATTCAGAGGCTGAGGCAGGAGGATCGCTTGAGCCCAGGAGTTCGAGTCTGGTCTGGGCAGCATAACAAGACCCCGTCTCGGAGGGGGTGGGGGGAGAAGGATTTCTGTGACTGAGTTGAATTCACTGACAAAAGTGTTTGTCATGTTCCTTTTGGACACTAGACCTTACCTGAGGGACTCATATTTTTTCTATAATAATAACTTATTTTAAAAGTAAATTGTAATATTTTCCAAAACTTACGTGTTTCATTCCCAAATTAATCTGTATTTTTATCTACTAGTAATTCTTAGAGTGCTGTAATGAATAAAAAGTAATAATTTAGAATTAACTCATCGACTTATATGAGAGAATTTTTTCCCAAAGAATTTACAATAATCTTCCAGGAGGTAAAAAATAGCCTCCCTCTATGTTTTTTTGACATTACTAATTTTTCTTTCCATAAGTATGTTTTCTTTCCATAAGTAGCAAATAAGAAACTACCTAGCCTCTCTCTGAGTTAAATGTTAAGTAATGGTGGGCTAAAGCAATGAGATTGATCTTTGCACACAGAAAAATTGCAGGAGTGATCATCTTGTTCAGTTTTTCTTACCTAAAACGTAATAGCAAGTTGCAACTCTTTGTGAGATATAAATTGTAACACATCTCCAACTTTGACGTGATGGACAATACAGAACTCCAATTTTGTTTTCTCTTTAAGGATGTGAGTGACAAACTGAGCCTCCGATTCCCCAGGTTATATGTAGTGGGACAAAGAGACTTACTGTTCAACTATAGGAGATTCTTCGTAAGCTTGTTGCACGGGATCTTGACGTCGATGATCCTCTTCTTCATACCTTTTGGAGCTTATCTGCAAACTGTGGGGCAGGACGGAGAGGCGCCTTCTGACTACCAGTCTTTTGCTGTCACCATTGCCTCTGCTCTTGTAATAACGGTCAATTTCCAGGTACGTGGCTTTCAGTGACTGTATTCAGTGTTGGTACATGTTGGTACCTGTATTTTTGCACGTAGGCTGGTGTGCACATCCACCTGATTCCTAATGCACCTCTGCCACTTTATAAAATATGAATGCTATTTTCATCCCTTAAACCTGTGGTTCCCAACCCCCAGAGGCCATGGACTGGTAGTGGTCCATGGCCTGTTAGGAACAAGGCCACACAGCAGGAGATGAGCAGCAGGCCAGCCAGAGAAGCTTTATCTGCATTTATAGCCGCTCCCCATCTCTCATGTCACCGCATAAGCTCCGCCTCCTGTCAGATCAGCCATGGCATTATATTCCCATAGGAGTGCGAACCCTACTGTAAACTGTATATGCGAGGGATCTAGGTTGCACGATCCTTATGAGAATCTAATGCCTGATGATCTGAGGTGGAGCTGAGGCGGTGATGCTAGCGCTGGGGAGTGGCCACAAATACAGATTATCATTAGCAGAGAGGTTTGACTGCACCATAAATGTAATATGCTTGAATCATCCCAAAACCATTCCCTTCTCCCCCCACCCTCAGAAAAATTGTCTTCCATGAAACCTGTCCCTGGTGCCAAAAAGATTGGGGATCACTGCCTTACACCAAGCACATTTCCTACTTCTTGCCTGCGTCAAAGATGGTTTGGTTTGGTTGGGTTTCTGATTGTCTAGAGTGTTCAAGCCAAATCATGCATTAAGTTGCTGAATCCTATTTTCAGAATTCTTAGATCCTTTATTTCTTGCTAACTCCCCAAAATGAGTGCTCTGTTTTTCTCTGGTTTCCCAACAGATTGGCTTGGATACTTCTTATTGGACTTTTGTGAATGCTTTTTCAATTTTTGGAAGCATTGCACTTTATTTTGGCATCATGTTTGACTTTCATAGTGCTGGAATATATGTTCTCTTCCCATCTGCATTTCAATTTACAGGTTGGTATTTTCTAAATTCCAAAAATGTACAGACAAATTTCATTAGATTTTGATATAACTTCTGGGTAAGTAAAAAAAAAAATATAAATTATTGCTAGCGAAAATTAATGTCTTAACTGGAAATTGAATGGTGATGGTGGGTTAGGAGTGTAGTAATGTGAGTGGGAGGAAAGCAAGTTAAGATATAAGATACAATTGTGCATCTGTTGCATTAGATAACTTAAGGCTTAAAAAAGCTAGGTAAAAGCCTTTTCTTTTTTTCCCATAAAACCTATTGTTAGTAGGTTACTGGAAAAGTGGGTATACATGTATCGCTGGTAACACTATAGTATAGTTTCATCTTAGCAAAACACTATCTGAAAATCCATAATGGACTGCAAAGCTTTTCATACATTTTGGCCAGGTATTTTCACCTGGGGAAAATACCTTAAGATAAAACACACCAAATTTTGGCAAGGTAATGTGTAAAAAGACTATACCACCACCACATTTCTAATTGTAAAAAAGGGGGAAAAAATAGAAATAACCCAAAGACCTAAGATATTAAATTAGCTAATCAAACTACAAAATACAAGTATGATGGAATTCTAGAACTCAAAAGTGGTGTACATCTGTACCATGGTACTGGTCTATGGCCCATTAGAAAATGGGCCATACATCACTGCCTGAGCTCTGCACCGCCACCAACACCTTCCCGTGCACTCCCCCACCCCCAGTGCATGGAAAAGTTGTTTTTCATGAAACCAAAAGGTTGGGGACTGCTGCATGGGAAATATGTCTGCAGAACAATAAGTAAATTGATGGAAAACAAAATCATAATGTGACCAATGATTATATAAAATACATGATGAGTTAACAAATGTTAGAATGACTGTGAACTGATATAAAAAATATGAACTGAAATTTATAAGAACCTTATTTTGAATTGAGAGTTTGGATTCACAATGGGAAAAAAAAAACAAACTCATAAACTCGTTTTCCTGTAAAAGATTAGGCTTTTTATGACCAGTTGTTGAGTTGTAAAAGACAGTTGCTGTGGTAACCCTTTTCTTCTTGAGATTGAGCTCATTTTTTTATGATTGTTTTTTTCTTTCCTGACTCTGTGTTTTAGAAATTTAGTACCCAGTTACTTAGAATATTCCCACAGGGAGTGTTTTGTAATTCCATCCACATTTAGCAGTGTAAACATCGCATTTGAAATATAAAGACCATTATTTTTTTTACTTACTTAGAGTGTAAGTACAGAAAACATTGTGATAAATTTGTCTCTAGAAGATGTTAAGTATAGTTTGAAAACTGGATAGTGTATATGATTATGCGATCGTATTATAGAATTCAATTGTTACAACTTCTGACATAAAAACTTCGAAACCAAATTGCAGTGGAAAAGCATGGCATCAGGCAGAAATGGATTTCTTCTCTAAAACTCAGTTTCTTTCTTTGGCACAGAGGATAATACGCACCTCTCAGAACTGATTGAATGATGTGATCTTTATGAAACACCTGGTACTGGCAGTGCTAGTTTCTATTACTAATATTTGGCATTTTGAACCAAAACTACAAGTTGGAAAGTGCTTTTTTAAATTCATGAAAAAATTCAAAAGTCTCTTGCCTAATTTTGCATTTTTATTAATAATCAAAGTAGTGTGAACAAATGTGCTTTTGTTTTTTCCTTATTTATGTGCTCCTTATGTACATTTACCTCGTTCCAAAGTATTTGCCTGCCCAGTTTTGCTTTGCTTAAAATGATTTTAAAATGTCCATTCCAGGCCGGGCGCGGTGGCTCACGCCTGTAATCCTAGCTCTCTGGGAGGCCGAGGCGGGAGGATTGTTTGAGCTCAGGAGTTCGAAACCAGCCTGAGCAAGAGCGAGACCCCGTCTCTACTAAAATTAGAAATTAATTGGACAACTAAAAATATTTAGAAAAAATTAGCCGGGCATGGTGGCGCATGCCTGTAGTCCCAGCTACTTGGGAGGCTGAGGCAGCAGGATCGCTTGAGCCCAGGAGTTTGAGGTTGCTGTGAGGTAGGATGATGCCACAGCACTCTAGCCCCAGGCAATAGAGTGAGACTCTGTCTCAAAAAAAAAAATTTTTAAAAATGTCCATTCCTTGAGCAGTGATGGGATGTTTTCCGGAGGCCAATCTGGCTGTAAGTCTTTACCATAAATAATCTATTTGTGGATGTGGACTACTAATGTGCCTTTGGGATGGAAGCACCAGTGTGATTCATTCCCCGTGTTCTCTCCAGGCACAGCTTCCAACGCCCTGAGACAGCCGTACATTTGGTTGACCATCCTCTTGACCGTTGCAGTGTGCTTGCTGCCCGTCGTTGCCATACGGTTCTTGTCCATGACCATTTGGCCATCAGAAAGTGATAAGGTATACAGAAATACAGTCCTCCCCTAACTCTGAGTATCTCTCACAGAAATCAAAGCATTTCCTAACAGCACCTTTCCTGCAAAATTCCAAGCTCATGGGAAATTCAGTAAGAATGCTCTTTCTGACTGCTTCTTTCTTTAACTCCATCTTGCAAATAAGTTCTTTGGGATTGGGATTTTTGTTTTCTTGCTTTTTAATACAAAAATTTCTACACATAAACAAAATGAGAGACTAGAACAATCAGCCCCATGTATCTATCTCCTCGGTTGAACGATCCCAGTGTTAACATTTTGCCATGCAAACAAGTTGGGTTTTCTTTATTCTTCTTAAAGCAAAGTCACCTCCTGTAGCAGCATCCTTTTGGGCTACAAGTAACAAAGCTGTGACTCAAAATGTCTCAGTAATGTATCATTTCAACTCACATAATCATTAGCAGGCTGCAGGCTTGATTAACTTAATATCAAAAAAAGGACTCGGGGCCGGGCACGGTGGCTCACGCCTGTAATCCTAGCTCTCTGGGAGGCCGAGGCGGGCGGATTGTTTGAGCTCAGGAGTTCGAAACCAGCCTGAGCAAGAGCGAGACCCCATCTCTACTAAAATTAGAAATTAATTGGACAACTAAAAATATATAGAAAAAATTAGCCGGGCATGGTGGCGCATGCCTGCAGTCCCAGCTACTCAGGAGGCTGAGGCAGGAGGATCGCTTGAGCCCCGGAGTCTGAGGTTGCTGTGAGCTAGGCTGACGCCACAGCACTCTAGCGGGGGCAACACAGTGAGACTCTGTCTCAAAAAAAAAAAAAAAAAAAGGACTCGGGTTCTTCGTGTCACTCCCCTCTGTCTTCTGATTAGCTTCATCTGGACGCTAGGAGATGGCCACAGCCCTTCCCAGCGTCCCATCCTGATGTGTCAGCGTCCAGGGGCAGATAAGTGACCATTCTGTGGCATTCCCTTAGGAGTCTCGAAACTTCTCGCCCAAGGGCCCCAGCACACTTCCCTCCCTCGGGTCGCGTGTGCTAGAATTAGGTCACGTGCCAGTTCTTTGACTGTCCTTGCTGGGCACTAGTCCATCAGTCCCAGGGCCTGTGAGGGACGTGGGGCAGGGTACCGGAATAAAATCAGTCTCCTAGAAACGAGGGAGAAGATGCCGGGTAGGCAGCTGTCAGTGTCCCCCCGGGTGTCCCTTTTGCAGTGACGAGAGTACGCAGTAGCGGTCCTCTACCCCCGCCCCACCTCGTCTGTGCAGTGGGGATAAGAACGTCCCACGTCAACATGGGACAGGCGTGGGGGAAGCCTGGCGCAGATGCTCGATCAGTGTCTTGTCCTGGCCACCTCCCTGTGTCACCGACCTTACCTGCATCCCTCCGCTGTCTCACGCTCTCGCAGATCCAGAAGCACCGCAAGCGGCTCAAGGCGGAGGAGCAGTGGCAGCGGCGGCAGAACGTGTTCCGCCGGGGTGCGTCGTCGCGGCGCTCGGGCTACGCCTTCTCGCACCAGCGCGGCTACGCCGACCTCATCTCCACGGGCCGCAGCATCCGCAAGAAGCGCTCCCCGCTCGACGCCGTCGTGGCCGAGGGGACGGCCGAGTACCGGCGGACGGTGGAGAGCTGAGGCGGTGTCTCAGGAAGGAAGTGTCTATTTTTTTATGCAAGACTCTCAGGACTTTTGTTTAAGGTTATTGTCTTCTGTATCTTTGCTACACATTCAGTTGTAACAGACTACTTGGTTTGGGCTATTAATAGCAAAGCCAAGGGTACCTTTTTAAAGGTCCTGTTATGTTCATGATGGTTGAAAGGGAACGTTTTAATCCAGTCTCAATCCAGGGCAACAGAATTAGAAAACGTGTTATATTTCACTTCAAATGGTGTTAAAAAAAAATTACAATTAAACTTTATGATCTTCAGCATGAATTCCCAGGACTCCTTTTTACCCTTAGGCCACCCTTATTAGCAGGGTTTTTTTTTTAAAGTAATGACAAAAGACTCATGAATGTTCACGTGGAAGCTGAGTGGTCCAATGACTTTTTCAAAGTTGATAATAGGCTGTGTGGTTTCAGGTTAGAGTGGTTTAATGATTCTGTACAATCAAGGAAAATTCCCATTTCACAATCGTAAGGTTTCAGTCCGTTTTTGGTTTACCAGGTTAAATAGCACGTTATACTTTTACTATCGCATATTTTAGCAACTTCCTGTAGCACCAAGTGACTTGATTCTCTTGCTTTTAAAATGCATCTAAATATTGACGAGATTAAAAAAACTGTTTAAACACTGAGGATATCAGTGGTAAGTTGCAGAACATGTTGCAAAGCTTTCTTTTGAAAAGCAAACTTTGTGCCTGCCTATATGTAAAGTATTTTATAAGGGACTTGAACAGAGACACCTCACTCTTTTTTACTTATGTCTTGAGAGAAAAGGCTAGTGGTGGCACGTTTCCAAAACTGGGGAAAAAATGTGTCCTTTTAAATTTGGAAATAACTTTAGATAATTATGGAAACTAACCTCAAAGAGGTAAAAGTAATTTTTTCCAAAGGCTTTTTCTTTCACACCTTAGTTTCCATACACTAGTGAAGATGTAGGAGTGTTTTCAGTAATTGTTTTTTTACCATTGGGCTGTGCAAATGTTTATGATTTCAGTCCCTTTGAATTCCTATGAGGAAATCCCAACATGTATATAGTTCATTTTCTAGGTACGATAAGTGAATGTATGGCTCTTTAGTCTGTGGAAGTAAATTTCTGAAAGTTTACAACTTTTCTTTAGCTTGTAAATAAGTTTTTTTTTAAAAGTTAGCTTGTGTAATTCTGTCAGTTTCAGATTTCTCTCCCGTTTTGCAAATTGTGGGAAAGGTTGACAATGCAAATGTGTCAAAGACTTATACTGTTAGGTGCAATATTAACAATTTTGAAATGCAAATTGCTTTGGATAAATTATTTCTATGCTCTGTAAATCTGAGATTGTATATTTTTGTTTAAAAATAAATGTTTTAGTAAAATCTTTGGAAAGTATAGTCTTTTTTAAAGATTGGGGTATAGGGCTGGTCCGCAGATAGTGAGTTGTCTCATTTGATTGTTTAGTCAGTTACAGATTGAACTCCTTGGTCTACTTCCCTTCTCACTACTGCACTTTTAAGACTAGTCTTAAAAGATTGGGGTATATGACAGAAGAATCTAGACCCAGTGTAGGACTAAAGAAACTTAGTCTTTTAATGGTGAGAAATAGGGGACAAGTGACTACGAGGATGTGGATTTAGGGTTTGGAAGGGGCAGTTTTTCAAAATGACCTTACCTCTTTGGAGCCAGAAGAAAAAGGCAAACCTCAACCAAAGTAGGGGCTGGGAAATGAGCAGATAATCCTGGAAATACGTGATGAATAGCTGGCAGAAAAATGAGCAAAGAGGAGGGAGGGAGGGGTTGGGAGAGCCGGTGTTTGAGGCTGGGGGAGGTTAAGGCTAATGACCTGGCTGTGGGACAGGCAGCTCCTGGACACAGGGAAGCCAGCACCCCACTAGGGAAGGGTTTCTGTGTGACAGAGATGGGGGCCTCTTTGGGAGGCATAATTAGCAGCAGTTGAAAAAGTTAGTCTTGGGGTGCTTGGGATGAGAGTGGAGGGGCAGATTAGCCTCTGCAATAGAAACGGTAGGAGAAACATTCTAATCAGGCCTGGGACATCACCTCTAAAAGAATTAAAGGCCATTTTTTTTCCTGGAATGTACTACTGTACTTAAGTTGTTTGAGGGATGTTTTTAATCAAAGAGCACCACCTAACGGTTCTTAGTCATGTTCACCACCAGAAACTGCTCAGTAATAACATCTGATGGGGATAAAGTAATTCTTAAGAGACTTCAGTGTGATAGCAAAATATATCCTAAGGGGATCTAACTATATTTTAAACAGTTGCTGCCTTCATGTGCTATGCATGAAGCTTAGGAAAATTGCAAGACAGCTTCTAAACATCCTGTCGGGATCTGTTAGAAAGTTATGGCTGCAATACAATTTCTGGTGCACATGTAAACACAAAAAGGCCTGTCAAGACACTGAAAATGAGTATGTCTCAGGAAAAAGTGGAGATTGGGACCTTAAACACTAAAAATAATTATTTTTCCAAAGGTGATATCTAAATGGTCGATGAGCATGAAAAGATGCTCAACGTCATTAGTCATCAGGGAAAGGTGAATCAAAACCAGTGAGATGCCACTTCACACCCACTAGGATGGCTGGAATAAAAACAAGTGGGGAAATTAAAATCTTCACACGTAGCTGGTGGGAATGTAAAATGGTGCAGCCACTGTGGAAGACAGTTTGGCAGTTCGGTAAGTTACCATATGACCCAGCGAATGATTCCTCTCCTAGGTATACACCCAAGATAATTAAAAATGTGTTCAAACATACATACACTGATGTTCATACCAGCGCTATTCACAATAGCCAAAAGGTAGAAACCTAAATGTCCAACAGATAAATGGATAAATGGGTATATATAAAATGGATTATTTAGCCATAAAAAGGAGTGAAGTACGAATATGTGCTACAACGTAAATGAACCTTGAAAATGTGTTAAGGGAAAGCAGCCAGAGTTAAGGGGTCACATCTTGTAGGGGTCTATATTTACATATCCAGGATAGGTAAATCCTCACAGACAGCAGATTAGTGGTTGCCAGGGGCTAGAGAGAAGAATGGGGTGGGAGTGTTATAGTATTAGGGGTAGGACGGATGGACAGACACATGGGGACGGACACACACACACACACACACACACACACACACACACACACACACACACACACACACGGGGGGCGGGGGGAGAGAGAGAGAGAGAAAAAGGGAAATTGACTTACTGATTTTAAGGAACTAGCTCAGGACTGTGAGGGCTTACAAACAGCCAGGACAGGCAGGCCAGCAGGCTGAAATTCTGGCAGGAGTTCATATTGCAGTCTCGAATCTGAAAGGTAGAAACTGAGGCAGAATTCTTTCCTCTTCAGAGACCTCAGTCTACTGATTTAAATATTTTTAAGCCCCACCCCATCTGATTTGAATATTAATACCACCATCACAGCAACATGTAGACTTGTTTGACCGAATAGCTGGGTACCATAGCCCAGCTAAGTGGACACAAAATTAACTACCACGATGGGTATGGGGTTTTCTTTTGGGGTGATGAGGGTGTTTTGGAACTTATTGTGGTTGCACAACACTGAATATATTAATTCACTGCCACTGTGTTGTACACTTTACAATGGTTAATCTTATGTGAATTTTACATCAATTAAAAATAGAAAGTTACTTTGTTTTTATACAAAACAACCACCTTAGCCTTCAAGACGACTTACTTAGATCAGTCTAAAGGTCTTTCTTTACTCCATATAAATATGAAGAAGTGATGTCTCCCATCACTGCTGACTGGCTAATCACCCACCTCTACTACAGAGGCTGGAAATCTAAATACTTGTTCTCTCAAACTCCCTTACAGCTAGGGTGTCAATGTGACCCTCTATAGCCAAGGAGACAAAAGGTGAAGTGTGCTGGGAAAACCTTTACTTTCCTGAGGTACCTCAACTGCCTCTCCTCTTGTCTCACCCCAGCACACTTCTTCCTTCCTTGTGAGTGTGATGCCTGGAGTTTGGCAGCAATGTTGTTGCTATGAGGCAACAAGCCAACCTGTTAAGGATGGCAGGAAGGAAAATTGGAAAGAACCTGGGATACTGACATGGTTGAACAGCTAAACTGCCTACCTCCAGGTAACTTATTTGAGAATAAATCCTTATTTGCTTACGCTACATTAGTTTTCTGTTACTTATGGCCAAAAGCAATTCTAAATGATACAAAGCATGAAATAGACATGAAAAGGAAGAGGTTTAAAGGGGGAAAATAATTTGAATTCCATTAGACAAAAAGCCCAATAAATTAGAAGTATAAAAATGGCAAGAAGGGAAAACTCTTTGAAGGTGATATTGAGGTATTCTTAGAAAGCCCAGCAGATTCGACTAAGAAATTGATTAATAAGAATTCAAGATAGTGGAAACAAATATACAGATACCTTTCATTTATGCAAACTAATAAGATGATGTAATGGAGAAAAGACCATATTTGCCATTGCAACAAAAAAAAGATTAAATGCCCAGGAATAAACTTAAGTAAGCCATATATGAACATAACTTTAAAATATTAGTGAGGTCAAAAGAAGAGCTGAGCAAATGAAAAGCATATTCTGTTCTTGGATAAGACATAATACCATGAAGAATTGATTCTCCCCAATTTATAAATCGCATATGATCCCCACAAAAATGCCACAGTTTCCTTTAATAGACAGGCTTATTCTAAAGTTCAGGTGGAAAAAGTAATAAGGAGCCAGAAACCAAAACCAATGGGGTGAGACTGTCCCTACCGATATTAAACCACATTATACTTTGTAAAGTAGTTTAAACAGTGTGGTTCTGATGTGTGATGACACAGACATTCATGGAAGAGAATAGAAAAATCCAGAAATAGACTCAAACATATGTACAACTTTACTATATAAATGTGGCATCAAAGATCAGTAGACAGACTGGAGGTGGTGGCTCACGCCTGTAATCCTAGCAC